CACACACACACACACACACACACACACACACACACACACACACACACACACACACACACACACACACACACACACACACACACACATGTATAGACAGTAATTAGTGTGTGTGTTGAGCATGAAGAAATTGCAGTTTTGTGGGGGGTGGCTGTTAATGCAGTTCAGGACAAAGGGCTGTCAAACACACTGATTCTGCTCCACTGGCTCCGCTACAGTACATGACACATTCCTGACGGATTAACGTGGAGAAATTAATTAAAACATAAATATGGATTAGCTGGTAAAGATTGCTAACTGTGTGGATCACCACCAGCTCTCTGAAGTCCAGTCTTAGACCACACAGTACAAGTTTAGAGAGCATTTAAAGATGCCTAATGTGACTAAACTCAGAAATGCAGGTGAATATATATATTTTATTCTTTGATAAAAGTGGATGTCTTTAGGCTGAGATATGGCCACCACCCCCCCGCCCCCCTCTATCTCCCCGAGCTGACACCCATGAATGAGAGTAATTACATCATTAGGCATACAAATGGGCTAATTTAGCTATTCTCCTTCTTGTCTAAAGAGTAAGACCATGACCCAATTTTAAATAACCAATCACAGCTCAGAGAAAACCTCCTGAGCCAATGGGCCGTGTGGCGCCACCCACCTGCATGAATACTAATAAGAAGCAGAATGATAACTCAAGGGGGGAAACTTGCAAAAGCCGCAGCTTGTTGAGTTTGTTCTGGAGATTACTTTGCCTCTTAAACCTTCACCATGGTCGACGCCTTCTGTGCCACTTGGAAACTGGTCGACAGTGAGAACTTTGATGAGTACATGAAAGCCCTCGGTGAGTAACAGGCTTTTTCTGTCTGTTTTACATATAATATTTGAGTTTCATGCAGAAAAATCCCCTTTTTATGACTTTTTTATGCAGCTTCAGATTAAATGTTGTTGAAAAAAGTGCTTTAAAACCTATTTCCTCCCCTCAGGTGTTGGCTTTGCCACCCGTCAGGTTGGAAATGTCACCAAGCCGACTGTGATCATCAGCCAGGAGGGAGACAAGGTGGTGGTCCGCACCCAGAGCACCTTCAAAAACACAGAGATCTCCTTCAAGCTGGGAGAGGAGTTCGACGAGACCACCGCCGACGACAGGAACTGCAAGGTAAGATGACAGAATCATAAAAAGACCAAAAAACATAGAAAGAAGAAGACCAAAAACTCTTCATAGATCCAAATTCAAATACTTTTTATGCAGAAAAACCCAAAAAAGCAATATTTAATGTTTTGTATGAAGTATCCAGAGTCTTAGCTGGACTTGTATTCTTTAAATCTTAACTTTTTAAAGGTCACAAATCTTATTTAACCCAAGATTTCAATCCTGCAACTGTTTTTTCCCAATAAAAGTGTATTTGTTAGTGGGTAGTTCCTTTGTTTCTCATTGTGGGTCATTAATAGGATTTGTATTTATTTCATTCTTGCTTCTGTTCTCGCACATTGTGTACAGAATATCATTTACATAGTATTTTCTCCACATGCATTCAGGGGGTCAAACAGGGTATTCCTTTGTTTGTATTTGTGGGTCAATGACAGGAATTGACATGTTGTCCGGAAATAGACCAACAGTTGGCAGCTTCTTAATATGCTAATCTCACAACACTCCTCTCTTTTGTCCTTCAGTCCACCGTGACCATGGACGGAGACAAGCTGGTCCACGTCCAGAAGTGGGACGGCAAAGAGACCAAGTTCGTCAGAGAAATCAAGGACGGAAAGCTGGTCATGGTGAGAGAGAAACACCCGGATCGACACCAGTTAATGTTTGATTTATATAGAGTGAATATACTTAGCAACACAAAGAGACATTTAAACCACAACAGATTTATTGTGTGGCCACGTGGATTTAATCCCACCATCTTGGAAATGTGTTGTGCGTTATTGATCTTTAGCACCAAGAGAAAAGGTATTGTTTTAAATTGAGTTTATATTATTTTTAAAGCATTCATTATGTGTTAAGGGCTTAGGAGTCCATTTTGTACACTAAAACAGTTGCATTTGCTTTTCAGCTTTTCTGATTTTGTAAAAATAAAATCTTAACGTAATAATGAATACAGAATATTTTATATTAATGGGAAATAAATGACGCTGTTTTCAGGTTATGATGGCAATGCATGGGGTGTTTGACTTTACATAGGGATCATTTGTGCATGACAAACTCTTTTTGGGCTTGTAACAAAAATAAAAGGCATTAAAATATCAAATGTAGCATCAAAATATGTTAAAAAAAAGTCAAAAAAGACACAGTCTTTTGTCTTTCTGAAGCTCCAGAAATACAGCAAATTAAAAAAAATGGTTCCGTTTTTGTTGACCAAGCATGCAATTCTTTCAAATTAGCATCCATACATCAAACAAAGTCCCAACCTGTTGCTTTCCAGAAGCATCCTCACCCCTGATACTTCACTTAAGCTGTTGAAAAACAACATTTTCTGCAATAAAACAATGTATTTGTTATTTTTTGAATGACCTCTCATGGTATCTGTCCTCTCTCTCTGCAGAATCTGACCTTCGAAGACATCCACGCGAGCCGCAGCTACGAGAAGGCATAAGTGCTCCGACTGCCAGCATCCCGACCGGCCACGAAGTGTTGATTTTATAATTATTGTTGACTGTTTGCTTCTCTTTGCACTCCATCCTCCCCCACATGTCCGAGGCCTGCAGGCTGCACATGTTTTGTAAGAATTTTTGTTTTTATATATGAAAACATTTCTGTGGTGACGGATGGATCGTCTTTGAAAACCTGTGTGAGAAAAACATGAAATAAAAAAACACAGAGATTACATCTTTGACTCCTGTCTTATGTGTTGTAATGGTTCAATCATTCACTAATGAACCTCGGATCAAATAAATTGTGTTAAACCGACATTGAACCCCCCCGAAAAGCTCAACCTTTGACCTTTTGAGGCCATTAACTGTCAATCTACAAAATAAATCAACATTATTTCACGACGTATCTTCAAAACCGGTGACTTCATGTGACTTTTATTTCGGAAAAAAGTTGGAAGAATTGCATTAATTTGCTAAATAACCCCCTCATAGAAAACAGTTGCTCTATTATTGGATTTTAACGCCTTAAATGACTCTTAAACCTTTGCTTGAGAGGTATAATATGACAGTATTTATTCAACTAATGCATGGACTAATTAAATGATTATGTCACCCAAACATATCTGATCACTCACCTCTCGTGGTATAAAGGATGTGGTTTCACCTGCAGTGCTCAATGTCATTATTTGTTTAATTTAAACTACTAAAAATGAGTTTATAATAGATTATTTTTGATAGCAAGGTGTTTTGAATACCGTAATTTTCGGACTATAAACCGCGCCTTTTCCCCTATTTTTCGACGCTGCGGCTTATATAACGGTGCGGCTAATCTATGGATTTTTACAGCTAACGGCCAACACCTTTAACTCTATGGGCTCTATGGCCGGTCCGCGGACCCCCACCTTTAAGCGGCGGGTTCCAGCAGGAAAAGCTGGAGGCCGGAAAAGAGTGAGACAGGTAGCGCGCAAAAGTAAAAGTGGAACCGAGAGTGGTATGCCGCTGCTGCGGTTTATATTCAGGTGCGCCTTATAGTCCGAAAATTACGGTACTTAGATTAAAAAGGGGCAATGATTTTGAAAGAAATGCCTCTTTAAAGGTATCTTTTTTAAAGGTGGGCACTAACATCCCTCTTGACTGTACAGGGGTGGACACAGAGACAGATATCTAATTATCTATAAGACGCAATTAACTGCATGGCTAGACACCCCCTAAAGGTCATTTTGGGTGAAGTGACCCTTTAAATCCCAAAGTTGAGGGGTCACATGATAATTAGATGGACAGGAAACAAAATAAAATGTATGTTGCAGAAAAGTATTGAAATATGTCATAGATTCTAAAATGCTGGATAGTTTTGATCTCTTTGGTCTTTAAGGGGTATTTAATATTAAACCATACAACAAGAAACAATATTATTTTTGGATTAAGAGTGCTCATAAGTCATGTCCAACACATTCATCTGGAGATGAGGGGCGACGTGTGCCCCCTGCCTCGAGGTCAAAAGCCAAAAATGTTGGGCGTGTGTTAAAAGAGTACAATATGGATGTATTATTAGGTAATATTCAGATCAAGTAAAAGTACAAATATTACACTGTACACACTCCATTCAGTAAAAACACTGCCATGGAAATGCAATTAAGCAAAAATAAAATATGCAAATGAACCAAAAGCATAAAAAAAAAAGAGAAATTATTTTCACTATTAGCCTTTAGATAATAGTTTCATATTATTGTATCTATGTACTGTAGGCATGTACGATTAGATTAGATAAGATGTACTTCATTCATCCCACATTGGGAAATTGTTTTATTACAGCAGCAGGTAAATGCACATGAGTAAAACATAAAATAAGAAATCAACATTAAATGTATAAAGTAAAAATATATATCTATAGATTAGTTAAGTATAATATAGAGCATGTTTGCACTGTTGGAGCCAAATGTAACTATTTTATATTTGTTTTGGAAGTTAAATGTATATTAATGCACCCTGTTTTATACACTTATAATATATTTGGTGTGTACTTTGTAATATATCTGTCAATGAAGTTGTGTAAAACGTACAACATGTGGTACAGATGCAATAAAAGTATTCAGGATATGATCAATTAAACTACCTCAATGTTCACTACAGGAAGCCTGCAGTACTTGAATAAAATCACTTCGTTACTTCCCTTTATTGATAAGCAGCAGATCTCAGTTCCTCCTCCTGAGCTTCAAAACACGAGTCACATGACCTGTGTGCACTTCCTGTTTATTTCTGAGGAGAACGACCTGCATACTTACATACTTTAGTTTGAATTTACTTTATGTTTTGCATCAAACTGAGGGTTTTTAACATTCAAACAGTGTGTATTTTTAAGAGGATAAACATGGGACTACTTTCTTGTGTTGTTCCGCTGCTGCTGCTGCTGTGTGGAGCGGCTCCTCTGGAAGCGGCGCCCGCTAAAAGCAACTACCTGCAGGGCACAGGTGAGAGGAAACCCCGCTAATGAACTCTGGAGGTGGAGGTCTAGAAGTTTATTTGTGTGTCTTTTTGTTGGATGTATAAGACTGTACAATGTTCAGAGTAAATGGACATGCATTGTTTCTCTGCCAGAGGATGAACAATATGAGGATTCAGTTGTAAAAGTAGTTTTTTTAATTAAAATTAGTGCTTTTTGTTTGATGGCATGCACGCCGAATTAACCCTAAGATATTGTTCATTTATATTACTTATTCATTTGTTCTATGGGAGGTGCAAATTCAATGTAAATGATCATTAACCAACTAATTAACTGTTTTTTAGATGGAGTTTGGCCATAAACTCTCCTGACATGTAATTTAATGGTTTTAATTTGTCTTTTTTTACTTTTTATTAATTTCAAAACAGGCTTTTGGAGATTGTTTTATAACTTAACATGAATCAAATAAATAATACAATTAATTTGTCATCTTAAAGGTAATTTTGGGGAAACCAGCTCGAGTGTGCTAGAATTTGACAACCGGAACAAATGTGCCACTTCCTTACAGAGCCCCTCCTCCAACACACACGAACGCGCACATGACCAATGAGGGCACGAGATAAGTTTGTGCACAGATGGAAGGCTGACAGGCAGGTAGGCCATCCAGTTACTTTAGCCGGGCCGGCTAAAATGATTGGTCGTGCGTTTTACAGTACTACGGCTTCTACAGATGAATTGTTTGTATGGATTTTTTGTCAAAGCACTTTTCATTGCTATCGGGATGTTAAGAGCATTCCATGGAATATAACAACAAGTGTATCTCGAGCCGGTTTCTCAAACTTACCCCACCTTTAAATATTTCAAAAATAGGACTTATGCCATTATTTAGTGCTCAACAAGCAAGTAAAAAAGATATGAATTAATCAGCCCAACTAAAACTTAAAGGGAACTAAATGCAAAAAATACACGACATTATTTTAACACATGTTAACCCTCATTTGCATGTCTTTTAGTACAAAATAAACTGTGCACATGTCCTAATAAATATATATATTTCAGCGTCTCTTTCACCCTTTCTTCTGAATGGAACTTAATGCAAAAATGCATGCATTATTTGAATTTATTTATGTTTGTTTTTCATGTATTGTCTCTTGATGTTTGACTATGTTGATGTTACACATGGAGCTGCTGTGATGCAAGTCAAATGTCAGACTTGATCAGACCATTAAAGTAATATTGTATCTTAATTCTTATCCCCTCTGTCTCTTTGCTCCCTTCTTCTTATCCACCTTCCCTCCATCTCTCTTCAGGAAGGTTCTGGCACATCACTGACCTCCACCTGGACCCCACCTACCACCTGACCCCGGACCCCACCAAGGTGTGCTTCTCCTCTAAAGGAGTCCCGGCCACCAACCCCGGCATGTTCGGAGACTTCCTGTGTGACTCGCCCTACCGCCTCATCCAGTCGGCCTTCGATCACATGGCAACGCTCACAAAGCCGGACGACTTCATCATATGGACCGGGTCAGTGTGAGGATTCAGGTTCAAGATTCAAAGGTTTTATGTCATATGCACAAAGCTACAGGGTAGAAATGGCAATGAAACTCTTCTGACCTGAGCTCCTCCAACAATGCAACATATATAATAATTAGGGATGTCCCGATCACCTTTTTTTTCTCCCGATCCGATTCCGATCATTTGATTTTGACAATTTGCCGATACCGATTTTTCCCGATCCGATCTTTATGCAATGCATTAAGAGGAAAAAAAGCATTCAAGTTGTCCCTTAAGGTTATTTTTTTATTTAAATTGGATATTCTATCCAACATGGATATAGCTTCTTTCTTTCACAGCAGCATTGGATCAGTTCAGTTGTGCAGCATTGGATCAAAACAAAATAAAGCTTATCAGTACTCGTTAGCTTACTGCTACAATTAGACACTGCGCCCTGCCCACTCTGTTGCCAGATTTGAGAGAAATAAGCAACCAGGTCTATGAAAACAAGCCCCAAAGAAGCAACACATACATGATGTTCTGTAATTTGAAACGAAAACTAAGGCCTCAGGATGACTTTAAGACTTGAACATGGTCATTTTTGTTTTGTAACATTGAATACAAAAAATAAATTAAAAAAAAGTCCAGATTTTCCGATCTTTTGAAAATCACGTGATCGGCTCCGATCCCCGATCACGTGATCGGATCGGGA